CGGTTGAAGGTGTCGTGTCTCCAATACCTCCGTGCTAGAGCCGTTTGATGCCGATTGGCAGGGGCTTCATCTTCAGGCTCGGCTGCCGGCTGCAGCCCCAAACCCAAGAGACTTTAGGGATATTTACGGGTCATGCTTTGTGCTGCAACAGTTGCAGACTTCACCAGACACTGTTCGTCATCCTCTAGAGCACAAAAAAGCTTTAAACCCTAAACCACCAGGTTTGTTGGCAGCTTGGCGCCTCCTGCTTTCAGCTTCCCGGCATCGAACTCCATGGCACTTCGGCTTCTACGCAGACCTCTGTGCAAGAGGCACTTCAGCCTGAACATGCTGCCACATGGAGTGTACACGGCCCAGTCACGTCGCTAAGACGGCAGTGCTCTTCTGCCTGAAAGCAGCGGGAAGCTCAACCCCAGGACCTTTTCTCGGCAGATTGGTGCCGCAGCGCAGTGCTCACCAGCGGCCAGCCGACCTTAGCGAGTGCTGCTCTGCAAGATAAAGCAACGCTCAGCCGACCTTGCAGGTGGCCTCGTCGAGGGCTTGCAGGTTGGGGTTTGGGTGGGATTGGGTGGGGTCAAGCCTCGATCGACACGAGTACATAGTAGAGCAGCGGCTGCTGAACGAATCGCCTGATCGCTATTTTTGTTCCTCGATTGCCGGCTAAAACTGCAGAGTGAGCATGGCGGCTCGCGAGTCATCTAAGTCAAGCATGAAGGAACCTCAAAAGGCATCCTGAATGGCACCTTGAAAGGGACCCGTGTCTGAGCATGTGTTCTACAACGCTGGTGGAAGTAGAAGAGATATACACGTCACAGCCCCGCCGTCGGCTCGAATGGTGAGGCTAGGACGGAGGCCAAAGTAAAGTAAGTCTCCAACTGGGACCATAGTGAATCTGCGAGAAGACCAGCTCCATCAAACGAGGAGAATTTGAAACATCTGGTCCTCTACAAAGCCAGGTTCGAGGAACTGCCTGCATAAGATGGAAGATGTCGACGACGCCAGCGTGGGCGTGGCCTGGTACAGGATACTTTTACCTCGAAGCCTATGCTGTCACTGCCCACTTCGTTGGATGCTGTACAGGTCACATTGGTGATTCCGAGCGGAAACAAGGAGCCGGAAGGGGGTACGCAAACAGATTCAGCTCCACAGCCTCCCACCACGGAGACATCAAAACTGACCTGGGCTGTGGTACAGGAGGGAGACTCCGCATCGATGCTTGGAACATCCGGAAGGCTCGGTGCCGAATCACACGCAGGGCTCGACGAAGGAGAGGAGGAGTTGCAGCCAACACCACCGGCCACGGCCACCTGGAAGCTGGATGTGGCAGTGTTTCCGGACGGATCAGTTGCCGTGCACTCCACTGTCGTGTCTCCCACCGGGAAGAGGGAGCCGGATGCGGGAGCGCAGGTGATCTCCGAACTGCAGTCATCCGTGGCCGTAGCCTCGAAGAAAACTTGCTTCAGGCCCTGGCAACCCGCATTGACAGTCACGTTCGGAAGGGTGTCAAAGACGGGCGGCTGCGAGTCGACGACCGTGATCTCAAACTTGTAGACATTGTCTGGTCCACGGCTGCGGGCACCACGGAATCTAACGCTAGGGCTACTGCTATCCCTTCCCACGCACTCCACTGTAGAGGTCCCCAAGGGCAAAAGTGCTCGGTGTGCAGTTGTAGGACATTGAGGGAAGGCAAATGTCGTCAAAGGTGAAGGAGTGGTTGCACTGCCCTTCGTCTGTGGAGACCCGTGATGCTGGGATCGGAGCTTGGCAGGTCGCTAGGTCGTCCACTTGGAGCTCCCCATCGAGGCGCACGTACGGCGTTCCAGATTGGGAGATCGTGCTACCAAACAGAGACGTGTCTAATTCCTCGCTGTTGCGAGAGCTGCCCAGCCAAAAATTGTGCCATGCGGATAGCCGAAAGTCTCCGAAGTGGTCGTAGATCCTCGCCCACACAATCTGACCTTGAAGCACAGTTATCAGAACTCTGATCCAGTGAAGGTCCCTTTCGGGGAACAAATAATCCTGGGCCCAATGCCAGGGACCCTCGAACTCGCTGACTCCATAGAAAGAGGCAGAAGAGGTAACTTCCCCGAATAGGATTTCTCCGAATCGGACTTCAATGATGTACGGGCCTCTTTTTTGCTGCTGACGCTTCACCTGCAAATACTTGGCCGAATCTGAGTTACTGTCGAAACCGATGTTAATTAAATCATCACTTCCTGAGTCTCTCGGGAATCGAACCCAAGCTTGCAAAGTGGTTCCTACCTTGCTGGTGACCGGTGAATGAAAGATGATGCCTGACACCGGAGCACTCAGGTATCGGTAGAAAGCATCAGACTCGACCGTACCAGCGCTCGAGTTGTTTATCACCGTCACATTTGAGGGCGGCCACTGGCCGGGGGAAGTGTACGTCTCGAAGTCCTCGAAGGCGGTGTAGCCCTCATCCTGAGTTTGCCTGGGCTGCGTGGGCCCAGAAGGAGTAAACCTCGACTCAAAACCTCGACTTGGAAGCTGCAAGAACCCGAAGCTCTCATTGTCGCCTGCAAAGCAAGAGCTTGAAGCATGGCATGCCAGTCGACCGGCCGTGAGCCGGGCAAGTGACAGAAACATCAAGCAGCTCGTTGCCTTGTTCGGCATCTCGCGCGAACTTGCACAATTAAAGTTACTGGCTGGGGTTTGAGCCATTCTGAAGAAGCGACGTGTGTTCATACCTACACACAACCAAGCCTCTGCTCCATAAACTCCAGCTTCGGACACTGAGTCTGTCACCGAGGCTCAGGCCGGGACGAAGCGAAAGCTCCGTCCGGTGGGCCTGGCGCAAGCGAACTCAAGAAAATAGTGAATAGTGCCCATAAGGCTGTAACCACTGTCGTCCGAGCTACAAGAGCAACAGGCCGCCGGAATGGAGAGGCCACAGTACAAGACTGGCTCTGCTTGTCTGATTCGGCCCTAGCTGTCTGGGGCTCCTCTTCTACCTCTTCCACACCCGGGGCATGAGTGGCAAGCGTGAGTTTTACTGGATGCGTGAGTTACAACACCTTCCTCAGCTTAGATTCTGATGCACATTCGGGTAAGTCGTCTCTGTTTGACCTGCCAGCATTGCTAAGTTTCACATAGACTACAAGGCACGCTATTGCGAAGCTCACATTTTTAAGTCAAGTTTAAGTCTTAAGTTTAAGTCACACAGTCTCGGTGATCTCGACCACTACCGACAATGGATGGCACGCTGCTGACGATCCACAGCTGCGGATGCGTCGGTTCGCCGGTACGCTAGAAATTGCCAGCCGTCAGCGTGCAAAATGTGAGTAGAGCCTGCCACTACCTCCTCCAAAGGCAGCTCCAAAATGAGTGTAGGGAAGTTTCAGGGAAGCGACACTGCACAGACACGTGAGTCATGGCATAAGGCATATAGCTTGCCTCAGCTCGCGAGGAAAAGCCGTCGTGTGTGAGGGCCCGACCCGAAACCCGACGAACATGATTCCATCTGCTCTGCACTGCCAAGTCCGCCCTTCAACCGGCTCACAAAGTGATGTTCATGAAGTCTGGTTTGCACTGTAATCGGTGACAGTCCTAAACATGTTGTCAAAACTTCCCCCAAATCTTCGTATACTATCATTTTGATGTTGTTGCTTGGAATTGGTGTGCTTCGCATTGCCCCACCAGGCCGACATAGAAACACTGCTATACGTCCATGTTCAAAAAACCACAATGTTCGATCCAAATCTAGAGGACACTTGGCAACTGCGCGAGGCCACTTTGCACTGAACAACGGCATCCCGCAACAGACAAGCGTCTTTATTGAGCCGGCAGATTTGACAAAACGAAAATGAATCACGAATAGGACAACCGATGTCATCTTGCCACGTGGCAAGCTGGAATGCCCCGGATTCTTCACGCCAGATTCATCATCATCACCAGCAACAGCCACGGCAAACTCAGTCGGATGGTGTCGCAGTTTGGGCACATTAAGGCTAGGGAAATTTCAGTGACTATGATGATGACGATGATGATGATGATCGAAGAAGTAGAGCACGATAACATTTGGACATATACCATGTCTCGCAAGTCGCACTTAAGCAAATGCCACGCCTCACTCACAGAGTCGGAGACTCTTCATGCTGCATGAAAGTGGGTGGGTGCATCCTGCTATTCTGCGGGAATGTGTGCGAAACTGGGGCAGTGCCGTCTATCGTGCAGCAGCAGCTTTCGCAGCCGTAACTCCCTCATCAAGTCTGCTTTGACTTTTTAGCATGGGGCACAACCTTCCCGACTTCTGCTTAAAGCCACATGTGGCAGCCAGCGACACATCCATCATCTCTTGCACTGGCCGATTACTTCATAAAGCACATGTAGACGACAAGCATGACATGCCCTTGCGATCTGCTCGCGGCACAGAAGCAGAATTAGAAGTGAAGAATTATGTTCAGTCCGGCAAGTTGTGCTTGCAGCAACCAGTGTTGCACGACATGCCTCTTCCATGGAGCTGCCGTGGCGCGGGCACATGGCGACACAAATGCTAGCTGCACGATGCCACGTGTTCTTGTCGTCTTGAGCAGAGTTTGCCTTGATCTTTGTAGACATGGTCATGCCTCCGAAATCAATCGTTTTGCAAACCTCTCAGGCTTCCCAGGACGGGACAGTGCTGCTGATGCCGCATGATGGCATGACCGCACGAGAAGCATACGAATCGGAATTCCAAGGCCTCAAAGCAAAGGACGAAATACACCCAAGGGCTCGTAAGACGATCGAGGCTGTGTCTATGTGTCTACCTGCGCTTGTTTATGATGTTCATGCCTTGGTTGAAGTTTCTCTAACACTCTCTAAGTTTTTAAGGAGATTCCTCCGCAGACACCCGTCAGATTCGGCCGTAAAATGCCTACCGGAGATGACGTCCAACTGCAACCCCTCGAGAGCTCGTAGCTGCAATTGAGGCGTCAGTGCACCTCAATGCCCCGAAGTGCAACATTGAACAAGCAGGGGGCATGAATCGCCAGCCGAGAGACGAAGATTTCATGCGAGGATCATCTGCATCCAGGAGTGCAGCCTGAGAAGTTGCGATACAAGCGGTTTAGGGTTTAGGGTTTGGGGTTTAGGGCAACGGGTTTACGCTCTCGCAACTCGGACTCCGCCAGACGAGGTCTCTTGTGTTCAACTGGATACATCGGCTAACAAGGCTAGCGAACAATCACTGACTGCTACACCACAGGGTTTCAGCACTCACAACTGGGACAAGCCTGGCGAGGTTCCGAGTACAACGACGACAGCACATTGGCCAAGGGCTGGCACATTCACCACATCCCAAACTTCACTCACACTCTAATTAAAGCCCAACACATCAAGGCCATCACACAGTTCTCCATCAACCATCACAATCCTCCTGGGAGCTACCTGCACGGAGCATTCCACCCATCTTCACGCCTCTCACAGGAACATGCACGCGCGTCATCAGTCATGACGCACGGCTTGTCCCAGCACAGGCCGCATAAACGGGGCCATATGCCCGAGTCCAGCATTGGATGACATACGCCACTGGCCACGCAACCATTGGTCACCGATGTATGTCCGCCAGCAAAAACAAGCGTGATGTGCCCAGCTACTGCGCATTCCGAAGAGCCACAAGACCTCCAGACTGTCAGCGACCAAGCGTCATGCAACACATGCAATATTCTTCCGAGGAACCCAAGCCCTTCAGTCTCTCTGTGATCAAGCGTCATGCAGCACATGCAGTAAATTCCAACTCTGTCATGTCCCGAATGCCCGACTGCTCTGAATTCTCACTTCTCCACGTTCTTCATGCAGTGAATTCCCATCCACGCACCATGCAGACAGATGCGACAAATTGTCCCAGCTGTTCATCTGCTGTTCTCTTGCACCATGCAGAACCCATTTGTCGTACAGAAGTCCTCATACCAGAAGCATCGTTATCGCCTTGTGCAGAAGGCCCCGCCAATACTTGCCAGATCTCAAGGAGTGCTGTTGCGTATTGGAAGGCCCCCGGGGAAGTTCGTGCCCCATTCAGTGGTAATACTTGCCGTGCCAGGGTGCTTGAGCGGTATCGCACATTCGCCCAACCTCAACGTCAGCGCCTTTTGCAGAAGGCCCGTGATCAGCCGCTGTGTATGAGTCATTCAAGGGCTCGACAGTCCCTCCTTCCGGAGCTCCAATGTGTTGTTACAACACGCAGACGTTCGCGCCTTTTGCAGAAGGCTCCCAGCAAGGCTCGTGTTCCACCGAGCATGTTGGATTGTTGCCATGGCGTTACAGGGCCAGTCCACCATTATTCACATGAGGCTTCGCGCCCCTGATTCGCCAGTGCAAAAGGCATCCCAGAGGACCAGTTGCTGTCGTAGGAACTGAAGCTTACTCCATGGCGTTGGCTTCCGCGGGTTAGTATAACCAGGGGTTCAGGAGTGCGGGCTTCCTATCGGAGGCGAGACGACG